TTTGAACTATTCAGAGGGTCCAATTGACGCGCCGGAGCGGCCGGCCGGTCCCGGTGACCGTGGCTGCCGATACGACGCCTGGCTATATTACCGACCCTGCCTACAGAAGGATGGGAGTCGCGCCGCCAGAAGCGGTGAGGATGAGACGCAGCGGGGTTTGATAAAAGATGCATGCTGCTGCGGTGCTGCGCATAGCGACAGACTGCTTCCGGAAGGCACGAAGGGGTACTGATGAGATGTAAACCGCAGAAAGGGAGTATGAGGTCAAGGTGGTGCTTACAAAGGGTTACATATGAGGTCAGGGCGCCGTAAAGAGGGACCAATGTCGTCAGAGCGATTTAACGATGTCCCTTTACGTCACCAGTGAATGAATGGACACCAATGCATTCAATTCATTCAAATCCGCTTGGTGGTGTAAGCCACAGATGGTTACCAATTCTTCCATGGTCAAACCATCCCTCCCTCAATTGTGACCCTAACGACCGGGTTCTAAATTCAGCTATATGCATGGAATTTGATACTGCCCACCCTTAATGAGCTATAAGGTGCAGTTTCCCCAGAACTCTTTAACAGCTGCAGCTACTTCCTGATAACCTGTCTCCCTGTCGCTACCTGGCAGTACCCACCATCACTGACTCTGCCTAACACACACCCGACGTCCGTCCCACCTCACAACGTCGACAGCGACGCGTCGGTTCGCCCGACTGGCGCGTCGACATCAGCCCTCTCTGGTGACGACGGATGGCCCAACTTGGGACAGCTGCCGCGTGAGCTCAACTAACGACACTGCCAACTTTGCGGTAGGAATGAGGGAGGGAGAGGTATGGCGGGTTATCGCAGAGGTCGGGATTGTGCGTGAGGATTAGGTTGGGTTGGCTGTGAATTGTGAAGTGTGCTGTGAGTGGGGCTGGGTGTGTAGTGAGTGGGGTTGAGTGTAGAGTGAATGAGGTTGAGTATGCTGCACGCAAGTTGAATTGCTGAGTAGCTAGATCCGTATCGAGTGAGGCTGAGTATAAAGTGTTTGGGTGCAGTTCGTCTTGGTCTGATTTAATGATTCTTGTAGCTAAATGGAAAGATTTCCTGTAGGCAACTAATTAAGCTGAATTGTTGCGCTTTCAATCGACTCAACCTTGTCTGCTTAGTGTGCAATTGCTGAAATTGTATCTATTGACTGGTTGAAAGTTCTCAAAGCGCAACTGGCTTGGAACTTCAAGCTTGAATGGACGCATGTAAACACATGCGAATATCTGCCTACCTTATATTCCTTATATTCGTTGGATGTGGCAATAAACCTAAAAGTCGGGTAAAGTGAAACAGTCTTGCTGACATACATTTCCGCTTAAATTTGACGATATTTAGCCTCAGGTACAGAAAGACATTATGCCCATATCCAACATTAATGATAATAAGGTAACAAACTATCGGGTACGTACTAACTCTGGGATAGAGCCTGAATGTCGCCGTATGTGGGTCTCTGAGTTATATGGGCTGAGCTTGGAGTATCTCTCAAGGTGGAGCTCCGAGTGTCTCTATAGGCAGAGCTCTGAGTGACCTGGACAGAACTTGGAGTCTCCCAACAGACAGAGCTCGGAGTGATCTGGGTAAAGCCCGGGTGTCTCTAAAGGAAGAGCACGGTGTGATACTGGGCAGAGCTCGGAGTGATCGAGGCAGAGCGCAGTGCCCACGAGCAGCAGGTTGGCTGTAAAAGGCCGTATTGAGGTGGTGGGGCTTTAACGACCGAAATTTTACGGCTCTCGACAGGTAATACTGGAGGTGGCTGGCAAAAAGTTGATGGTTCAGGCAACCGCAGCACATCGTGGTGTGTAACCGATGGAACGATGATTGTTGCCCTTATGTTTTGAAATTGGAAGCACGTAAAGGCTTCTAGCTTATTCAATGAATTTGCTTCAATTCCATCTCAATTAAAGGTGCAACTTATTCTCTGTACCTTTTTACGTGCTCGGTAAAGTGTGTTTCTACGGTAAACATGCTCACTAACCCGCTCCAGGGAATGCTGAAAAAGTCCCTCCGCTTATCTAGCCAAGCAATAATGAAATTCTACTTCCCGGATCTGAACACTAGGCTGAATCAGTGAGAACATTTTCTCAACTAAGTAGATGCTCCATTTTCTTCAAATGTATGAGATACATTAAAAGAATTAAGCAAATGCCGTGTCACTTAGCGCTAATGCCATGCTAAACATAGGGCACCAATACTAATGAGAATAGCCATACATTTCTTCTCTGTCCCACAGCTGCAGACGTAAAATCCTCTCTGGGCTGCGCATTTCAGAAGTTCAGCGCGACATATTTGGGCCGTGGCACCGAGTGAGGGCGATTTATTCTCTGTCCAGTCCACTGAAAAATACCGTGTGAAACTGTCCTGTGTCACAGGCAAAATGGCTGCATCAGAACTGAAGAGCGCTCGGCTCTCGTTCGACTTCCCGGTCTCACAGAAAGCCGAGTGGGCCACTGGAGCTGGCTCATTTTAAAATATATCATCAGTGATGTCAGCCCGGGGCTTATACACACTAAAGCACTTCTACTTTCCGTCTACAGGGTGCGTCATAAGTTCTGGTACACTTTTTCTTTTATTAATAAAAAGAGTTACAACAGGTTTACAGAGTTGAGTATTTCAGTAGAGGATCTCTATGAAGTTAAGTCAAAACACGTGTAATTTCATGAAAAAATATTTACTAGCTGAGCCTTAATGAAACAAATGGTAACTGACCGCCCGACAGCTAAGTGCACACCATGCCGCCTTTCTCCCTAACAAAGGAAGTTCGCGGGGCCATCGTCTGCATGAAGATGGCGGATATCTCGGTAGCAAAGCTATGTCGCACGCTTCGCTGCACGCGGAATCGTGTGTATCGGACGTGGACCCGGTACCAGGAGACCCAGAGTACCGGAGACCGATTCCGTTCCGGCCGCCCCCGGTCCGGAGGAGCTTGAGAGCGCTTTCCTTCCGTGTGTGGCGCTGTGCAGCGTTGAGGGAGTGAACGTGCTTCTTGCGGAGGCTTTTCACGCGGATATCCTCAGAAATGAGTCTGCGCATGGAACGCTCGGACACATTAAGGTCCCGGGCCATTTGGCGCATGGAACGCTCGGGGTTGCGGACAATCCGGCTGCGAACCGCGGCTTTCAGCTGAGGCGTGTGGGCGGACCGGGGGCAGCCGGAACGGAATCGGTCTCCGGTACTCTGGGTCTCCTGGTACCGGGTCCACATCCGATACACAAGATTCCGCGTGCAGCGAAGCGTGCGACATATCTTTGCTACCGAGATATCCGCCATCTTCATGCAGACGATGGCCCCGCGAACTTTCTTTGTTAGGGAGAAAGGCGGCATGGTGTGCACTTAGCTGTCGGGCGGTCAGTTACCATTTGTTTAATTAAGGCTCATCTAGTTAATTTTTTTTCATGATATCACACGTGCTTTGACTTAACTTCATAAAGATCCTCTACTGAAATACTCAACTCTGTAAACATGTTGTAACTCTTTTTATTACTAAAAGAAAAAGTGTACCAGAACTTATGACGCACCCCGTAGATTTGCTAGGCTGGGCACTATGAAAGTGCGCTAGTGCGATGGTATAGGCGGAGGTGATCGTTTTAACTTACAGTTCAGTGGGTACGAGTATGAAGAAGTAATATATCAATTGCTGATGGGTCCTGGGGTGCATTGCCTGCTCTTCATGCGTCCAGTCCTACAAGTATGATGTTTCTTGACAATTTCCTGCAAAAATTTTGGCATTCCGGTACAATAAGGCTTTAACATCTGAATCAGGTCGCACCCCAGTTCGAGGGTGCCCGACCTGACATCAGCAGCAACCTGTCACATCTTCTACCAGTAGTTCCCATTTCTTCACTGCGCCCGGGTGAGGCCCGGGCACTTCCCAATAACGTGCAACACCTCTGCAGGCCGGGCTGGGCCGGATTCAATTAGTGGCTTCTTCCAGGAGCCGGCGAACTGTAATTATGCATCGGTCGAGCCGGCGAGCGCCGTCAGATTGATAAAACGAACCGACGTCGCGGCGGCGGCGCGGCGGCAGAAGGGTGGAGTGATGGTGCCACCGTGCCTAGGCAGGCTGGATGCTGCGACCGCGGACCCTGCTTCGGCAGGGCGGATGCGCTGCTGTTATATTGCTAGGCTTTGCTGAAAGCCAACTCTCATAGTGATATCAAATATCCGAAAAATAAGTAGGTATTAAAAACTTAAGTAATGCTCAAAGAATGGAATGGAAGAATGATTTAACAATCGATTTTTGTTTTTGTTTTAAGCGTCATATTTTTCGTTAATAAATCTGTTCTCGTCCTCATAAATGCAAAAATGTCACATTCGAAAAAATGTTTGAATAAAACATATGGTTGATAACTTCCCTATCAATCCGCTACCTCGTCATTCTTCAACAGCTATCCGCTATGCTTCCTCAACAAATTCAAAACATCTGAATGTTTTCAGCTAAAACATTGTTACATTCGTAGCTCTGTCCATCGAGTCGGTCCAACCGGCCGGGCGAATAGTTGGATTATTTTCCATGTCGCTCCGAGTAGCGCACTGTCTTCCGACATCCAAAGGTCACGGCTGTATGGGCCCGGTTATACAGAGACCACTCCACCAAACGGAAAAGGTCGGCAGTCCGGAGGCTCTCCGCTACACATGAATACAGAGGTTTGGAGCTGCATAGGGCTCGGCCGAGGAAATTCATAAGCGGTTCGAATTTCATGTCATCGGTAAGAAGGCGATATGCGTATCTGCTTGATAGTAGCTAGCTGTGGTTTGAACGTGTGCATTGTGCAATGTGCAATGCTGTCTACTGCTGGTGTGATGAGTTATTTCGTATCAGTGGTGCATAGTTTCCCAGCAATATTTGTACATTATTAGTGGAAGTAGCCGGATGCTACTGTTCCTTATCTTCTCAGTCCATATTTCGGTCCTTAGCCTTTTCCTTATGGTCAGTGGCCCGTCTCTCCTTGTAGCGTTCCCAAACCAAACGACCGAACAATTTCCGTATTTTAATTCTCTCGTAAATCATAGGTACAATTATTGTTGATATAGTCCTCGTCTATATCTGGCAGCGGTTCTAACGATATAGGCTTCTTTGCTGAAAGATGATCACGGGTCTGAAACAAAGGGAGGGAGAGAGACGGCTTCGGTCAGAACTGGGAGAGACAACGGGCAGATATTGATGGCATAAGACAAACACAGCGTGGTGAATGGAAACAAATAGACTCTCCGGTGGTCGGAGAATGGATCTGAGCGGTGCTCGAGCAGACTGGAGACGAGCGGGGAGGGAGCAAGGATCGGCTGGGAAGCTGCGTGGCCTGGTTGTCTGATGGCCGCATGGGAAGCATTTGATCAAATGTCAACCTGGACCGAAATACGATGTCGGTGATAACCCGCCGCCACTCAGCCGTAAAATGTCGGTACTTTGAAGCCGGAAGCTCGCATCAGAGAGGATAGTCACCTGATAGGTCAAGATGTCGTCATTCGGTAGAGCCCAGGCATCGTGATTTGGTATCGCCTATGATATCGCTATCCGTTGTCGTCCAGATATGGCCATTTGCTATCACCCAGACACTGTGGTTGGGGGCTGGTCCTCACACCCATGCCGTCTGCGGTCGGGATCCATCGATCTTCTGCCGCTAGCGTAACTCGCTCGGCGAATGGTCTACTATTGGATTAATCCTCTATAGCTGACCAAGGTCGGTCCACCGTTCCGTGCTTCTATCCTCAGGACACAGAAATCCTTCTCCTCCACACCGCAACCCCCTCCGGGCTGGACAGGCAACTTTATCTCATGCGGGCTGCTCCCTTGGAGCGGCACCGCTGCTCCCGAGGGAGCGCACCCCGTAGCAGGGTGCAGTGAGTGCCTTGGGGCTGGGTGGCCTGTCCTCTGGACGGGCTCAGCCCCGGCGACTCACTAGGGTGCCTGCCCAGACCAATGTCTCCCCCTATATCCTATCATCCTCCCGGCTCTGAAATGGTCTCATTGGACCGAAAGGGCCTAACCCAACAAAACAAAACAAACAAGGTCGGTCCGATATTGGTCAGATATCTGTAAGTAAGCAGTCATCAAAAAAGCCCTACATTGGCTGCCATCGCCCATACAATGGTCGGATATCGGCAAGCATTGGCCTGTCGGGCTGCAACTGCCTATCAGTCTGTCGGTCTTGAGTGGCGTGCCAGTCAGATGTCTGACAAATACCGGTCTGTGGTTTCGGTCCAGTGATGCAGACCAGACATCGGTTGGGTTCCAACTACTTGGATGGCAGACAGAGGCGTGATTCGGTCAGGTCCACATGTGGAGTGAGTCGATCCAGCTTCAGACAAGACACTGGCTGTGTCTGGGTGTCGGTTCAAGGCTTGCTCAAAATAGCATGCGTGTCGGTTCAGACAGGATTGGTCCGTTATGTGCCATTGCCTCAGATGTCGGTCTGATTTTGGTACGATATGGTCAAGTACCGACCCGATGTCGGTCAGGTATACATCAAATATTGGTCAGATGCCGGTCCAATATGGTCCAGTGTGGGCCTTATATGGTCAGGTGCCGGTCTAATCTGGTCAGTTGCTGGTCTGATCCTGGTCTAATATGGTCAAGTGTCTGTCATCTTGGTCCGATATTTGCCAGGTACCGTTCCGATACGTGGCCCACTCGCAGCGGTGACCACCTCTGCCGGCGGACGCAATCAATAGTCGGCCGTCGCGCGGGGCCTGGGCCCGGAGGCTGCGGCATACCCTCCTCTCCTGGGAGAGTCCGTCGGCCACGGCTGACCAGTCGCGCGCCGGGCCGCTTTTTGAGCCCGGAGACGTCCCAGATCGGACTGGACGGCGGGGTTTACGGCCGGAACATGTCTCTGATTGTGGCGCCGGCCGAATAGAAACGACAAACAAAGAGACGGCACGGGGAGATACCGGACACGCTGGCCGGACGGCCCGCGGGCGGTCATTGAATGGCAGAGGAGCCGCCCGGGGGTGGAGCCGTGCTGGGTGCAGCGGGACTGCCAGGTAGTGGAATGATGGTGGATTGAAGACGGCTCTAGGGACGGGATTGGGGTTCAGGTTGCAATGAAAGGAATTCACAACGGAGGTAGGTTGCAAAATGTTGTCCAAAATGGTTTGCCAGTAAATTCCGGCTACAAAAGACAATTTCCCAATGGAAAGCTGATTCTCCTGATAAGTATTACAAAAGAAGACAAGACTCTCTGCTTAACCCTCTTCACACTACATATGTGGAGCTTAAGAAGCTGGAAGCTACGCGTCGTTGGGAACATTCATCTGAAGCCAAAGTCGTTTCTCACCTGTTCGACCTTCCTGAGCACACGCAGAAAGTTGAGGCCGACCACCTTTCTGACGTCGGCCTCTGACCAGCCTGGCCTACCGAGCAGCTCGGCCACCAGGTGGGGGTATTTGGACGGATCCTCGAGCCCCTCGGGCACCCTGTCGGCACACAGACACAAGCATACACCATCAGCTGGCGAGCGCTAAGATGCGTGACAAATAGACAAATGGTAACCCTCTGGGAAGTGGGAAGTGTTGTGTAGCAGTATGAAGTTTGTCCATGTTCATTACCTTCTTACTGGGGAATAGGCAGCACATGTGGGTATTCGATCAGATGTTGTCCAATGATATGTAACTCCAGCTCGGGTTTTCCTATAGGAGCTGTACGCCCATCCCAACAACATCGGCGGCGCGCCCAGGCATCCATCGATTCGCCGATACAACAATGCAGCGGGGCCCTTCATACCATTCACATGCAAATGGCCATTCGGCTGGCTTTTTCACCTGCATCTCCTCCCAAAGAGGCACGCACAATGCATCTCCTTAGCTGGCATCTAGCTGCCACTGGGGTAGCCCCATGGACGCCCAACAAAGTAGCCAAACTCCACCATTGGAGCAAGTGTTCTCTCAATGCTGACGGATGTAGTCACGAGGAAAATATAAAGCTAGTGCGATCTACATGTGAAATATGTCTTTAAACATTTTATTCTGGCGAGTCGCAATCACAGACGCTGTTGCTGTGTGATTTCGCCGTTTCGCATTTGGTATATGGCTGTAATATGTGGGTTATGAGGCCCAGACGCAATCAATCTCGACTTCCCACGTTCGTTTCTGGTACAATATTTCCAACAGAATTATAGAGCCGGGAGCGCCGAAACAATGTCGAGAGAAAACTCATGGTCCCTGAGGTCTGCCAGTGCAAAATATGACAAAGATTGATGACAAGCTCACCAAATGTTTTTAATGACGTGATATAAGACAGAACCAAGCAAGAAATCAGACAACTCAGCTGCCTGCTGACACAATGATATAAACAAAGCGCAATTGAGTGCGATCCGTTGCATACTTCGTCAAAGATACCGCGGAGTATGCTATTGCTATTGCCGTGCTGCCGTCTGCTATTTATCGACTAGGCACCCACACCTGACACCAATGTGCAATACGAACGATACATACCAGCACCTCCATACACTACTGAATTGAGTACCTCAGCCTCCATCCAGGTACATTCCAACCCTCGTTTGAGTGTATCCCTGCCTCCGTTTAGGCATACCCCAGCCCCCGTTTGGGTGCATTCCAGTCCCGGTTTAGGCGTGAAAACCCCTCCTCCAAGCGGTACTCACAGGTCAATACCGTCGTAGCCGGCCCCGAGACCAATGTGGTCCACCCCGGCCACCCGACGAATATGCTCTATGTGAGCTGAAAAACAGACAGAGCACAGTCAGATCGCTGGAGAACAATAACAGATCTACAAAATAAATTGATTTTGGCGTCGCAAAAAACAGTCGGCATAGGAGAACTAGCACGCTCATTGTGTTGGAAGAAGGGGGCTCGTAAATGTTTACTACCGTTCTTCTTTATCTTCCTAGTAAACATGCATGCTTGCTCGGTATAGTAAACTGATAGGATTACGTTTAAAACTGAGGAATCAATTAACATGATTGCTCTGTTACTAACAACTGTTTCCATTAGAATAAATACAAAATATTGTCATACGATCGCTGCGACAAGCTTTGTCATCTGATGATTGTTTATGTCAATTTTGCAGCCAACAGATGCCAGATGCCCGACCGACGCCGGCCTAAATTTCAAGTTCGAAACTCTCGCGCAGCTCAACAGCTCTGGCCGTTCCATGTCAGGATGGTGCAGTCGTCTCTCCCGGCTATCTTTAGACAGCCGGTCGGCCGGCCTGTGGGCTTTTTCCTCACATCATTATCCTCTGCTCACGGGTATTCTGGGAGACGGCCAAGCCGTGGCAGACGCTCCTTCTCCTCCATAACCTTCTGCAGGAATCTGAATGTGATTCTTGGTCTCGTGCTGACTTGCAAAAACATGATAGATAGCTCACAATGCATATGTTCAGTAGGCAAATGAATAGAAAGATTAACATTAATGTACGTAAGGGTTAGGCCGGCATTCACTATGTAAGTGTTATTCAAACCAGCGCTATTGTATAGTACGTACCTATACGATTTTTGACTGCTGAACTGATCTAACCCCTAATTCAATTTCGATGCTTTTTCTAATTTTTCATCTCAAGCCTTACGGAAGAGATTCTGTTCGGGAACAAACTGCTGCGCTTTAATTGTACTCGCATTATCATGATCCATATATCACGCACTATCATTATCCGTAATTCATGTGCGTGTTTTTCCTTGTTCTTCTCCTCACGCTTGTTATGAATTAAGTGATAGATTTCCTGTGTAACAAAGGATATCTATGTTTCGTCCATGCAAGCGAAGGTTCGGAGCTGTCGGTTGACATTGTAATATTGACTGTTGTAATTGAGTGATTAGTTTAGGTAAATAGGCACGATGGAACTGACAATTTTCCAAGTCTTCCTTCCTTTGCACTTACCCTTGACTTTAGATAAATAGGGATGAAGTGCATTTTTGGCTCGCTGCGTTTCAGCATGCATTGAATACGAGTATGTAAACGAAACCTTAGATTCTTAAATAATCCCGAAGATAAACACTCATATTTTTAACGAACTTTGACTATATTGATCACTCACAGTCCACAGATACAAAACTTCTTTGTTCTAACACTTACGCAAAGTCATTTACTTTATTTTAGCGTTATACGTGTAATGTGCAGCATGTATCAGCAATTATACATACCTATAACATCATGTATAGTTGCATTCTTCCCACAAGTTAGAAAACGATTATAAAAGCTGACCATCACAATACCGCCGTGCAGCGCCTGAAACAGAACGGAACAGTCTCTGAGATGGAGTGCCGTGTCAGCTGTGGGGGCAGCTGCACAGGCTGATACAGACCCCATTCACCGGCGGATCCATACCGGGGTCACGGGGTCAGCCTCCTCGAAGGTCTGGTTATCAGCAGTCGTCTATGGTAATTGGCAGTACAGGAAAGGAAGAGAGCGACCTTCCCAAACTGCGCACTCCCGAAACAGCCTCCTGACTAGATCCATCAGTGGCACAAACGGTGGATTGATATTAAAAACAGAAATTGACTGAATTGCCTATTCTTTGCAGATACCTACCTTTCTGCTTAAAAGAACAAAATTCTAAAAACTAAAACACAGACACACATTTTATCCGCGACTGCCCACTAATTCCCCATAAAAGACACAAACCGAACGTTCATCGGTTTATTTTTCATCGCCAATAGAGATCATAGATCACATCGCCAATATTTCAGACCATTGCAATATCTCGCTTTTAATAAACGAGACAAGACCAGCCACCCATCATTTCTACTTACCAGCTGTTTCAAGATGGCGTCCGGCACGTTTCTTGAGATATTGCAGAGCGCATGCGCAGACGAATGAGAAAACATGACGGGCGCTCGTGACACTGCCAGCACATCTCGCATTGTTTGTGTGCTGGTGTGACTGAGGTCGACCACCATACCCAGACGGTTCATCTCCCGCACAACGCTCTGCGGACAGACGAGAGGAGCTCGGTGTATATGTAATTGTGATACTCAGGTCCGGATATTGCAATAGGAACACTTACGACACTTACCTAGTGGCAAAAGTATACCATGGAGGAACTTCTCAGCCATGAGTATATATATACTTTAACTATGTAGTATTCCAATAGGCACCTTGAAGACCAGTCTCGTGTGAACGGTGAGCGGTGGTGGCACTTGCTAGCACGAGATTGTCCCATTACGCTGATTGTAATGATGCAATGATGCAATGATGCAACGGCATCGGCTGGCAGCCATGCGACGTGTGGTCGAGTTAAGCACACAACCTTAGCTGCAGTAGGTCAGGGGAAAAAAGAAAACGTAAAAACATCAACAAACATCACACCATTTTCTGTGCCTTTCTCCCCCGCAAATCCCCGAGAAACGAAGCGGCCATCAATATCACACTGGCGGGAGCACGCTTCATTGCTTTCCGCTTCTCCTCCGTAGCTGAAGAGGGCCGACGATGTCTTTCGGTTGCCACTGAGCGGAGAAACAAACAGGAAAAACACCACAGGCCGGGCCGGTATTGATAGGTGCACTCGACATCGGGACAGGAGGACAAACTGGCGTGACGTCGCCACAAGTGCTGTCTAGACACCGCTGCTTCTCCGCTGAATGCAGGCATTTGTCAGCAAACCTGGAGCTGCGGAGGCTGGCTGTCGGAGCACGTTTGGTGATGTTCATTGTTCATCACCTGTTTTGAGGCTTCATGACATTGTCCAGTGGCGTTGACCAAGACAACACATACACAAGTATGCGTAAGGAATGCAGTATGCGTAAGGAATGCGTAAGGAATACAGTTTGCGTAAGTCGTTAGAAATTTAAAGTTTTAGAAAGCTCTTTGAGGAAGATGCGTGAAGCTACTGTTCAGTGTAATTCCCGGCCCAGTGGCCAGTCGGACCCCTAGTCCAAATATTTAACAAGTTAAATGGAAGTGTGACGGCATCGTGGTGGGTTGCGTTTACAGAAACATACCAAAGTAGTCTGTTCTTCCCGTTTGGGCCCAATGTTCGTCGCTCTTTTGATTTTAGGACCACCCTTTAGCTAACCGATTGAACTTTAGAGGTGTGTCTTTTCAATTTACGAGCTTCGTGTACATTTAGTGTGAGGAAAGAAATGCCCAAATGCACATTTTATGTTCTTTTTACCACCCGAAGCAACACCATCACTCGTAGGGCAACAAAATGTTCAGCTTTAAAAGATGGGTAAAACTGAGGCTGCCGTAGAGTTATACAGTTCGACTTATTACCGCACAACTTTTCTCGAAAATAGACTGAACGAAATCCAGTTAAATTCAATAAACAGACAAAAATGGCCATTGGATCCATCGTCAGATGGCAATTGGATCTGTTTGACTGGAAGAGAGAGAGAGAGAGAGAGAGAGAGAGAGAGAGAGAGAGAGAGAGAGAGAGAGAGAGAGAGAGAGAGAGAGAGAGAGAGAGAGAGGGAGAGAGGAAGGGAGGGAGGGAGAGGGAGAGAGAGGAGGTAGAAGCGCAAGGATAAAGAGATAGCGGTATAGGCCTTAAAGAGCAACAGGAAAAGGGAGAGCGGAGGAGTTACTGCGGCGTCTGTCACTCCACCAATGGCGGCGCCCCTCCCTCTCATTTGGCTGATGGTGTGTGCGGCGCAGACATAAATCTGTCGTCGCCGATACCGTAAATAGCCATCAAAGGGTAGCGCCGCCGCCGCCGACACCCCATCGGCCGCGCGAGCTGCCATAGACCCGACTGCCGGTGCTGCAGGGGTATCCACTATCCATTTACGCTCTATTCAGGGAGACACCGGCGGTGGGAGATGGAAGATGTTGGTGGTGGGTGGCGGCGGACTTGATAGGAGGATGGCGATGGCCAGTAGCGGCGGAACACCTTTGACCTTCAATTAAGGGGGGGGGGACTGCCGACTTTTGGACCCATTCTTTCCATGCAACGTCCATAGGGCTAATTTTAAAATGCCAAAATCAAAGGGGGGCACGGTGCCCGGTGCCCTCCCCGTTCCGCCGCCTATGGCGATGGCTTTGGTCACCGATGACAAGTCAGGGATAAACAGGCGAGTAAGAGATGTTCTGCCGTCTTGGGTGCGACGAGGAGAAATTTGTCACACTTAGAAGAGACAGGCAAAAGTGATCTAGCAGCTTTACCAGCTGAGAACTGAAGAAGGCACATGAGTGACATTGACCAAATAAATCATATACACCTGAATAAAAAGTCGGATGGGTGGGGAAAAGACGGTAAAGCTTGTCTACCGAGTGCGCCAACTTAGACCGGGGTCGCGCGTGGAGGCGTTCTTACCTCACCAAACTCTGTGAGACCTCGCTGTTGCAGAGATGGAACCTCCGAGTACTCCGACCTGGAACACATTGCAGTCACAGCGTTAATACGAATTTGTATAAAAAATGTATTTCCTATACTGCGAGATTATTGCAACAATCTCGCTCAAATGTTCAGCTTCAGCATCCAAGGAAGCTCATAGTTCTGTAAGTGCGTTGTACAACTTTCCGCAAGAGCCTATATGTATGTAGTTATTGGCGCCTTCAGAAAATTCCCCCATTATCCGATGGTCGATCATTTTGAGGTGCCCAGCATTGAGACGCATTAGCGCCTCCAATAACCGTATACGCGGAACTGTGAATATGGTTATCGCGGAAACGATAGCTAATTACGATACTGACGAACGCCACAGCACACGATCCATGTATCACCGGCAGTAACCCTTTGAGGTTAATCTACCATCACCAACATCGTACGCATGTAATAACCGATGACACACGAAATTAACATCAAAGCGTCAACCGACAACCCAAACACAATAGCTCGGTTTGCCTTGCCAAGTCTTGCATGGCGGCTGCCATGTGTGGGTGTCGTTTGTACGAGTATGACTAGCACCGCGCTCGGCTGACTTTCTACATAATCATCCATTACTGCTCAGACCGTAGTGCTTTGTCTGCGGCCCGACAGCAGGAGCGTAGTACCACGCCCACCTGACGTCCTCGGGACTCAGCTGACCCGCCGTGACGTCATCAGGGGCATCCGGTGACGTCAGCGTGGGTGGTGCCTTACCCAAGGGACCCCTGTGTGAGGCGTAAATATATGCGAGATCCGTCAATGTAGCGATCTGCGTAGGTGCAGCTATATTTACTTTGATAGATGATCCATATATAGCTGCAATTATATGACGGCCCGCGTGTGAAGGTTTAGTAGGTTTTTGCATGCTTTAAAGCATTGGGATGCCCCCCCCCCGCAGAACCTAAAATCTGCGAAAATTTACGGTTTTTCGAGAATCAAACGAAAAGTTAACAACTTCTATTATATTAGAAAAGGTTTCTTTTAACCCTATTAGTGGCAGGGGGGGTTGTTTTTATCCACCCCTCAGGTTTTTCGGGAATAGCTCCGAAACCGCTGAAGCTACGATGCTGAAATTTTCTGACTTTTCCTAAAACTAAATTGGGCACATTCCCTGAAAATTTCAAGTTCATAACTTTACCAGGGGCGGCTCCAGAGCACTGGGAATTGGGGGGTCCTATTCGTGAAGCGAGTCATTTGGGCGAAGATCACGATGCTGCACCAGTTTTACGAACAGTGGATGAAAGGTATTATGTGATAACATATACAGTCATTGTGCATCCTCTTTTGACACGTTTTTGCTATAATAGGCGGATCCAGGCGTCCAAAAAGGGGGGTTATGTTTTACCTCCCAACATAGGTGCCCTGACACCGCCTATGCATGACCAATACAATTGTAGTTGTTCTCTCATAAGAAAATTGTAACATAACAAGACCATTACCACCCTTTTTAGAAACAGTACCAACAAAAACCTTATTTACTATACTTTTTGTGTACCCCCAATCTCAATGATCTGTATCCGCCTATGATTTTTGAAAATGCATATTTTTAGGATCCATGTGAATTCCTGGTTCATTCTCTATCGATCGGCAAAAGTTGCGTTAAGATTGGTTCAGAAACCTGGCCGTGATAAACAGTCTAAAATGTATCTGCAATTTGCCCGTTTTTACCCCCCTCTACCGCCCCCTATTGACATTTTTTAATTTTTATTTTTAGAAATGTAGATCACGTTGAGCGAAATCGAATGCCGTTTGAATTTTGAAAATCGGCCCGTTAGATCTCGAGATATCAAGGGGGGGTCGTAAACAGCCCCCCCCCCCTGCCACTAATAGGGGGTAGCCAGGAGCCTGCCACTAATAGGGTTAAACTGCGCAGTGCGTAAGGAATCGAAATCCGATGAGTTTTTATTTTTTATTCGGAGACACTTCTGAGGTATTCTTGTCCTCAGCGTCCAAGACCGCCTTTCTTGATCCGCTAGTGCTTTAAGTACAATTAGAAGTAAATGGCCACTGCATGTATTTACGCACGCCTGCTAATGCATGCATTTGCAGCAATGTGCAATAAACTAATATGTTTGTGCTCGGAAGGAGTCACTTAACTACGTTATGGTCGCTGGTGCATCTCATGACTCCATAATGTGAGCAGCGGCGGCCATTGCGGCAAATATAGGGCGGCCAGGCTGGCGCAGCACACACATGGCGCGACATAAGTGGCGCGCCGCCGATCGCTCACAGCCAGTGCAGTTATTGTGACGCATAAAGTCGTATACTAGCGCCATGACAAAATGCAGGCTGGGTCACGCACGAGGCATTATTAACGCTGGTTTGGTGTTACATGGAATTCTAAACGAATAAAAGGAAAGAGCGACTAGAATCGACAGTGGCGCCAGCCAGGGTTGCCGTTATTTCTAGGTCCTGCTATCAGGCCCTGCCTCACTGAAAGCGTACCTCCCTGAGCAGTGTGCACAATGAGTAGCCATATTTTCAGTTCCCGCCTTTCCATTTCAGCGTGCGTCCCTCTCAAAAAGCTCGGCTCCCACCATCAGATGAAACGATACATTTCATTGACTTTCCAGCTGCGGCAACTGTGTTTTATCGATGTTGACATTTGGACCGCTGAATTTAAACTGAAGATCAAACGAAAGAAGTCACGGAACGCTAAAAGCGAGGGCTGTTTTTTCTTAGCTGAGATCGGGGGCGGCTGCACAAAGTAGGAATAGGCAAAACATCGTACGCGTACTTGTCACTGGTAGGATGGCAACGTAAAGCTGGTGCTATGTTCACATTATTTAGCTCTGGAAGCACAAATTAATCAACTTGGATAAAACAAAGTTGAGTTAGCAAATCACAGAACGACAGTTACAGCGCGCAGTGACTTCCGCCCCCGCAATGACCTTCACCGTGTGCCTCAGTGACTTCTTCCCAATGTATAACAGTGACCTGTGCCCATCGACGGCAGTGACCTTTGCCAATTGGACGATGGTGGCTTCCTTGATGGGCCATAATGACTTTTCTTCGGTGACCTCTCCTTACTGGACAGAAATGACCTCTCCGCAGTGACCTCTCCCTTCTCGACAAACAGTGACCTCTCCGCTGAGCGACAGTGACCTCTCGCCAGTTTTGTCGCTGGTGTGGTGAGAGTCGCCCGTACTGAAATGTCCAGTATGGTGAAGGAGAAGCCAAACTTCGCCAATAAAGGGGATTTCGGTCTGCCAGGCGAGCAGACCCAATATTTGAGCGACTCTTGTAATCCAATACCGGTTCAGTCTCAGGTCCAATATAGACTGAACAGAGGAAGAATCATGAGACAACGTCGGCCTCTCTCCGTGGAGTTACTTGTGACGAAAAGGTCGCGCGACCAATTTTGAAATCAACGGATGCACCGCCTTCAGGGGTGTGTTGGCGTGGATATGAGAAAACAAATGTGCACTCAGGCGCGTGCATGTTCATGTGATCACAAACCAGAATGTGCTGCATGTCACCTGACTACCTACCATGGCGTACTTGAGGCCACTCGATACCACGGTGTACTGCAGGCCATGTGCTAACTTACCACGATGTGTTTTAGGTGATTTCTCACTCACCATGGTTTCAAGCAATGCCGTGATCCTCTACCATGCTGTCCAGCAGATCCGTGATTACTCACCATGGTGTACTGCAGGTGTGAGTGAGGGTCAGGTAACGGGCTCCCAGGTCGTGAAAACTCCTCAGAACAGACAGACTGCTGGCGATGGCGTGACCTCCCTCAACACCGAGCAGACTGGCCATCCGACCTCCTTTGTGGATCTCCAGAATCTCTGCCGGTATAGGAAGAACAGTCAGCGTGAGGGGCCTGGGGTCACGGCATTATGGGAATGAGTATTAAATAGTTATCTCAGTGTTAGTTAATTTCGTGGCGTAAACCTGTTGAATTTTTATTTATTTTATTTTTTCATAAGAAAACGGGCAAATTACTTGCGATGAGAGCAGCATCTAGTTTTTCAGAGAATGGATGGCTTGAACGAGACAGACATATTTGGCCACTCAGTTCGTCACACCAATAACTCATCTGTTGGACAATCTCATCTATCATAGGATCAATGCACTGATGAATCATTCCGAACCAACCAAACTATACATTGCATAGTCAGGCCATGACATAAGCTTATTTCAGGCCACAATTTGTCAGCCATTCTGACTAGCCATGATGACATGCGACGCTTCCATCCGCATAAATTTCAGCGGTCGCCACTGGCATCAATCAGTCGGGATCACCCAACTCAATGATATCGCTAACGGCCGCGGGCATTATTAGTCCGCACCTTTCGAATTCAGTGGCGGAATCTCCCCATGTCTGTGCTATCGCTACAGGGACCGATGGACCGCCGGACCGGACTCCATTCTGTCACTGTCGGTTAGTGCCGGCCCTAACCTTATCGGGCCGCTCGGTTCGACAATGCCAAATGGGACTCCGCAGCCGGAAAAGGACGTTCGGCCCCAACTGTGGTCGTTGGTTCGCTTCAGAGCGGTCTCATGATCCAGAACATTTCGAGCTCGCCGTGGCCCAGGCCGGGTCGGAGAGTCCGTTCAGTGAGGCCCGTTTTGGGTAAGTCGTTATTAGTATTTATATCAGTCATCTGTGAATGTCTCCGCCAGTCGCGGATGTTTGTCAACCCGTCCTAGCTGAATTTCTCAGCGGGAAAATTCTGAGAAATTCAGCCTCAACTAAAACAAATATCCCGCATCGCTTTCAACTAAAAATGCAGCGCTATTTCCGCAGAGCCGCGGTCGACTGTTTGTTTCCAGCATCCGTGCAGAGTTTGTCGGACCGCAGAGAGAAGGTCTCCTTCCGTGACCGGAGAGCGGCACACCGGACAGCCGCGGCAACAGAGTGGTGTGCCGATCGGATGGCGTGCCCGCCGGCCATCCCACGCGCCTCCGAAGCCAAGTCGGCGGCTGTGGCGGCCCGTCTGGCCGGCCGACTGGGAGCTGATGTCGTCTGGACACGGGAGTTCGCTGAGCTGGCCGGAATCGGTGTGAGCCGAAACTAGCGGGGCCGAACCGGGCCACGGCTCGGCGAGATTTGACAAATGGAGGTCCAATCAGCCATTCTTAAAGCCGAATGGGCCTCCTGAAAGCAAAATCGATGCTTCTTGGAGGCAATCGGTAGCATGATGGATCGCTTTTGTCGCCAAGGTCGACACGGAACGGCCGGAATGATTCCTCATGAAGCTTAGTTCTTGTGATATATGCAAATGAACATGTCAACTGCTTCCATCATCTGTCATTAGTGCATTCTTGCGTTTTAAGCCAGAAGAGCCCGATTAGCACCAGTTGATGCATTAGCATTCCGGACCGACGCCGGCGTTTTGGCGGTCAATTCCAACGCAACTAACGAGCTCCGCTGAATTCGATTAGGCCATTCAAATCAGCCGGATTTAATTAGCTTCCTACTCATTTCCAGCTAAAACACGGCTCGACGCCGACCGCCGGCGTTGGTGCTGGCTGCTACTCGGCCCGTGGTCTGATGGAGACACCTCTGCCGCCTCTTTGGCCTTTCAGGTCTCATGTGGACGAAAAGATGGGACCATTGTGAACCCGCCCTGCGCGCTGAGGATAGCGCCGCGAATCGTTTCAGGCTGGAAAGATTCATAACATGCCATCGGCACAGCTGCGTCCAGGCGTGCTGCTGGCGGAATAACAAAAACTTGTTTTTTAGAAAAGTTTCTGTCCGAGATTCCAGACATTCCCGGTGAAGAAAGTTTCCTGCTTGCTGTAGTTTGTTGGTACACACCAGACGCGGATACCAGCTTATTGCCGGATTTACGAGTATTCCTCGGGGGCTGACGGCGGTTCTGGCGTCGCGACCAGCGCGCCGGTGGCCGCTGGCGGCGGTCAGATGAGGTCATCAGAGGTCATCGGCCATGGTGGCGAGGTCGGTGGCCGCGGGCGGTACCGAGACGACGATCGAGCGTGGCCAATAGCGGCCAACAATAGACTGGTCGGCCGACGGGCTGTGCGATGGACCGGCCGGCCGGCCAGCGCGCTGCCAAGACGTATGGGCCGGCGGAAAAGGCAGGTTGGCCAGCCGATATCGGACGGCCCCGGGAAGCCGGCGGATGTGGAGGGTGTGTGGTGTGAACCAGCCTTTACGTCAACCCGCTGTGCTAGTGGGTCTTTTATGGCGCTGCTCGCGCGTGCAGCGTTGGTAGTGAAGTATCACCAACAGTTACTTGATTGCCAGAGCATTTTATTGCAAGTTTTCACAAACCATAGAATGCCTCATTTTATTCGCATGGCTGAAATGAGCTAAAAGCCTGGGCGATGCCGTCACCAACGTTCATGCCACCAGCACAGCTAGGAGTTCGGTGCTACTGCCACTGCATTCAATGCCACTGCAGTCGCATCATTTTTTCCATCAGATTAAGCCTTCTTTATGCCTCATCTGCCGCCATTATTTTTGCATCGCTTGGATGCCAAAATGATTACGGTTTAATAGTAGGGCTTTGCGGCTTCGCCTGTGACGTACCTTTGATGGTTTTCACTTTTCATCATACCCAGCCTCATCAGAATCGAAGTCCCCGAGTTACCGATATATACCCGTGGGATTCAGACTATACAGCTGGCCGGAAGCACCATTTATCCGGTCGGCAACATAGGCGGTAGGATTGCTTCCGGACGTTGATTGCTAATCGGTAGCTAACCCCGATCGATTGAGAATGAACAGGCCTGGCATATATCCAACACCAAGCGAAACTAGGCTGTAAAAGCTTGTGTGTAGCTACTCATGACAGTACATTTGGGGGCTGTTGAAATTACTCCAACTAAAACTTTCGAGTGGTGACCCAGGCACATGCTATTATTGACCAGTAGCGGCGGAACACCTTCAATTAAGGGGGGGGGGGCACTGCCGACTTTTGGTCTCATTCTTTCCATGCAACGCCCATAGAGCTAATGTTAAAATGCCAAAATCAAAGGGGGCACGGTGCCCCGGTGCCCTCCCCGTTCCGCCGCCTATGTTATTAACATCGTGAAAGCATACAAATCGCGCGAGAACCTACGAGTGCGTGTCTAAAAAAAGCTTCAGTTTTCCTTAGGAGGTGGTGTGATTTTTTATTTTTTATTTTAAATGAGCAAAGTTGAGTTCCGAAGGTTTGGTGAGTACCATGGAAAGTTACAACTGTTGAAGCACCTGATGTTTGATAGGGGCGCTTGAATACAGCACATATTGACGAGGAGTTGTCGACCCGACGAGACGTCGGACGGTGAGCCTTCGTCTGTAGTCTCCTCATCTCCTTCCGTCTCTTCACGTCTTATTTACGATGCCACCGGTATTTTGTTTCAGATTTTTCGGTCATCACAGGAGTGCTGGAGTCAAATTTACGCTGGCTGTATTGAGACAATGCGGCTGTGGATTGGCACTTTGGACAGAATGGAAACTACAAACAAGATTGTTGTCAACAACCAGAGGCAGCAGCACCGGCTGTACGGCGCATTCTCTCGTTCACCTCCTTGTAAAGGATAACAGCATTGCTACCGCAGTACTGCAATCGTCAATCGTCACACAAAACATCATTGAACTTGGACATCGAGCATATGCTAACGCAATTGGGTCTTCATTTTTATCAAAAAAAAAAACTGTCTCGCGTTTGACACGCGGTGCGAGGCAACATCCGAGTTTTTCGAACAATATACCTTGCAAACTGCTGTCAAGTCGGTCCACAAAAATGCCTTCGAGTGGATCTACAGACTACCGTCCAGTGCAGACTGCTGTCCAGCCAATCTGCAGTCCGCTGTCTGTTGTCGAGAGGCTCTACAGACTGCTGCTGACTGACCAGCCGAGCTGCAGACGGTTGTTGTGTGGAGCTGCAGGCGGCTGTCGGCTGTGGATTTGAGCTGCAGACTGCCGTCGAGTGTCTGTCGAGTCGAGTGGAACTACAGGCGGCTCGTAAAGTCGTCGGGCCCGACGGCCGAGGGCGTTGCTCACGTTCGTCGTTAGTTAACGATGCGCCGGGCCCAGCCGGACAGCTCGCCAGATCCACTCCGCCGTGCAACGACTCAAGACTCGGCTCGTGAACAGTAATTAGCTTAGGCCGTCCGGGCCAGGCGGGTCGGTGTCGTGCGCCGTATAAATCTCGCCCTCTTCCCGCCCCCGGACAGGCCCTGGTCGGCGGAGAAAACGTCCGAGGCAGATGTTTTCATGTCAAAGTTTGTGGGCGGTGGAACAGAGCACGGCTTCTAGGAGACGGCCCATGAGACTTTAATCAAACTAAGTGAATGTTGGTAGCTTAGAGCACTTGGAGAAAGTCAGGTAAGCGGCTTTTTACTGACGTTCTGATGCTGTCTCCAAGTGCAAAAACAATTTATACCCGGCGTAAGTACCGACTTTATTCCATGTCTACGTTTATCAGATGGCATTTTTCGACTTTTATATGCCCGGATCCGTTTTATTCTTTCTCCGAACCCCACGTCTGCGCAGGGTCTGAACGGTCGCCGGCCACTGAGCCTATGGAGAGGATCCTGATCCCTCCCTGGGGTGACCGTTCTGCCGTCCCGGAATCCGCCTCTCAAACGGGATAGTGCTAAAGTCCCGGCGGTGGCACGCAGACCGGTGACCGCCGCAGCCAATCTCCCACTCAAAATTATATCAGAATTGTTCTGATATGGCGTCAGAGAGGACTACCTCAACCAAACCAAACAATAAATTATTGGCTATTGGCAAAGAGACTAATCGCACAGATAATTGTGCATTACTACAGGCTGTACCGCTCTTTCACCATGTGGCCCCTACCCTGCCATCTAATGAGTTAACCACTTCACCTCTGGCACAGCTCTCACCCAATGCGTTTCACCACTCTCACCGTCTGCAGATGTGGCCAGGGCCGTGTGAGAAGGGTACCGCTGCTGTGGCATAGCTCTCACCTGGTGAGTTACATGGCGGTAGGTGAGCTCACACTGTGATACGACTCCCACCCGGTGATTTTACTGCATTCTCACCGTCTGCAGACGTGGCCAGCGCCGTGTGAGAGGGGTACCGCTGCACCATTCGCCGAACAGTGTCGATCTGTTCTAGGGCGATCTGCACGGCGTCCAGGTACTGCGCGCCGCACGGCACGTATATACTCCAGAACTGAAACGAAGGGACGGACATTCGTCAGGATATGCATATCACAGAAATTTGATGGAGCTGGACGGGAGTCTGTATGTTATACATCAGAACTGAAATGGAGGGGGGGGGGCATTCGCTAGGATATACTCCAGAACTGAAATGGAGGGGGCGGGCATTCGCTAGGATATCTCCAGAACAACGGAGGGAAAGGAATGTCTGCTGGTATACACTTCAGAACTGAAACGAAGGGTCGCCCGTCCGTGAATTTTATCCGGCATTGGAACGGAAGGCGACGAACATGAGACATCCGGTCAGCTTACCCCAAAATGTCAAGTCAGTTTATCATCATGCTGCACCTTTTATCGGATTTCTTACGCTGATTTTTCATTTATTTCATCTTTTTCTTATTTCATCCTTGGTGTATAACTGGTTGCCGATTATGTATTATCGCTAGTCTGTATGTCATTAAGGCATAGGCCTACGATTAGACCACCATTTATTGAGCTCCATCACTTTGATTATCAGTTTTGTCCTTGTCTAGTGAAGCTGTTATTTTGCTGTAGGGGTATCGAACATTTTTTTTTGTAATCAGCCATCGCGGAAAGGCCTGCAAGTGGCGCTTATGTTAACAAATTAATGTCAGACGCTTTTAAATTTCCCGTTCTTTATCAAAGAAGGATGTTCGTCATCATTGGATCAGCGAACACCCATCGGAGTTCAATCAACTTCTGAAGATATCACACCATCTCGGAAACATTTCAAACTAATTGAAAACGGAGCACCATTGAGTACCTCTCAAAATCTTATTCCGATAGTGGTCCGCCCGAGCCTGCCGTCAGGATAGACCGCCGCTGTGGAAATGGCCGGGTCGTCTGCCGACGCGGCGTGGAGGGGGGGGGGGGGGACTAGGGAGCTGGGGAGGGGGTGCAGCGGGGGGCGGCGCCGAGCGCTGATGAGAAGTCGTGGGAACGTGCCGCATGGACCGGCCCCATGCAGAGCGGCTCCATATGACAGAATGATGGGTCCGGTGTGAGTCTGCACGTCGGAGGGCTGGTGTCACCCGACTGGGGGTCCCGATGGGCTGTGAGCGTAGCGACTGGGGTCCCTGTTGGGGCTGGGTGTAACGACTGGGGTCCCTCTGAGGGCTGGGTGTAGCGACTGGGGTCCCTCTGGGGCAGGGTGTAACGACTGTGGTCTCTCTGAGGGCTGGGTGTAACGACTGGGGTTCCTGTTGACTGTTGGGGCTGGGTGTAACGACTGGGGTCCCTCTGAGGGCTGGGTGTAGCGACTGAGGGTCTCTCTAAGGGATGGGTATGGTGACAGGGGGTCCCTGACGGCTGCAGGTGCTGTCATGGAATCCCAGGGGCACTGGGGTATCCGCTGGGGTTCTGGAGGGCTGGGTTCCAGCTGGGGGTCCTCGAGAAGAGACACCGACTCCAGCTGCTTAGTTCTGAACAGTGGCAGGGTCCTTAGTCGTATAGTCCGTGTTTAGAGTTTAAAGTTGGTGTATGTTGATGAGTCGTGTCTCCATAAAAGAGGGCGTAAAAATGAAACGGGGCACTGCCGGCATTGGTTTCCGACTGTAAAATGCAGAGTTCTGTTCATAAGCTGCGGACAGAGACCGTCGACCATCAGGAGAATGTCTTCGTCAAGGAGCGGCGAGCTATTTCCGCCGGTTTCGGGACCAGCAGCGTCTTACAGTCGGCCATCATAATAATCGGTGCTCTCCATTGAAAAATGCAACTGAAAGGGGGTACGTCTGTGCATTGTGATGCGATGCTACCAATGCACATAATTGTGCCAAAAGATATATACGGCTTATTGAAATATGAAATGATTCCTGACTCATCTGGTACTACGCTTGTCGGGGTGTCTGCTTTTAAACAACATTCCATCTGCAGCTTTGTCTCACGCCTGATTTGGGTATTTCATCAATTTTTCTACTTCTGTGGCAAATATAGGTATCTATTTTTGATAGGCATATTTCCATTTATTTGAGGTCAATTCTAGGTAGGTACCGCTTCATTTAAGTAAAACGACCTATAAAACTACACCCGGCATTGGGATTCTTAGCATCGGTATGGATTTCATTGTTGAATTGATATCATTACGCGAAAGGGCTCTTTCCTATGCTGCGAAAACACTACGACACACACCTCGTAAGTCAGCGGGTCAACGGTCATGCAACTGCATTTAAACAGTGCGGCATCACTGTGGAGATAACACAATCACTCTTCAGGGAGCCGGCTGAATCCTATTTCAACTCGTAACTCCACAGATAACCGTTCCATTTGTACCGAAATCACCCCCCACTGCTACATAGCCGCCGACTCGGTTATAACGTACACAGTCCTAAACTCTACGCCACAGCGTTAGCGGTAGAAATGACGGACTAAACATGTCGGGCACACCTGTAAGTTGATGCCATTTGGGACGATGTCTCAGCGTCCGGCCCCCACGTAGTGGAGGCGGAGGCGTTTGTAGCGCAGAACGGAGACGTTTGCAGCGCGGGCTCGGCGTCTCGGCGCTCGTCGGCGCCCGTTAGGGTCAGCTCGGACGATTGAACCGCCTCTGATGAAGACAGTAAGTTGCACAAACGCCGGACGGGTGGTGCAATTCGGACATGTTCCATCCTAATGGACAGTGCACGTCGTCCGACCGCCTTAGAATATGCATGAGGGAGGGAGTTTCTATGTGAATGCTGTGGTTTAACTATTCTGAGTAATCTATCTCATTCTTTATACATTTTCATACCTGGTATTACTCTTTATCAGTGGTGATATTGAATTTCCATCTCTTCAGATCAAACTCCAATTTTCAACTCTTTAATTCAAATTTAAATGATACAATTTCTGAAAGATCTTTATTTGCTTTTTAAACCATTTCGAGACCATTCCGGACTCTCAAGCATTTGCCAAACTCATAGATGTTGTTGCTGTGTCTACGGTGCAAGGGCTTATATTTTACTCGTATGTGATGAATACAACAAATCATTTTAATGCATATTGAATGGTCTAAAAAGTGTTAAATTAATAATATTTTGACTGCTAAATATTTAAGATGACAACGCTTGTTCTTTACCCTTTTAAAAAAGTTATGCTGCCAACGTCCAACGTTCACGAAAAACTGATCAAACAAGTAAAATCGCGAGAACTGTCTTCTACTCAAAGACAGTACTTAGTGGCTATATCCGGAACACTCTAAGAACTGACTCTCTGAAAGAACTGAAACTCTAAGAACTGAAAAATGAGCCTTAAAAGCTAAAACCGCGCTTTCTTTCATTACTCTAAGAACTGTAACCTTCCATCTTATTAGTGATCCACACCAGCCCCACCGTTTCTTTCCTCTGGAGTCCGGTAGATTTGTCACCCGGCACGTGTGTCATTATCGGTGGTACAGAAACAACAGCGAATGGCACGCTCCCAAAGGTGATGGGTTCAGCCGGCCGGGCAGCGACCCAATTTATCGAGATAGGGTATAACACGATGCTCACAGACTACTGATCTACTATTCTATTTTGGCGCTTGTGATAATGCGTATAGGAGTGCGCCGCACAACGAACGAATATACTAGGGTGTAGATTGGTAGCGCGCGGTGACAGCGCCATAAAAGAATGTCGCCATCTTGGTGCAGGCTTCTTTAGTGGACACTGAAACATCAAATGTGGCATGAGGGATATGAACGAACTGCTGCAGATAATCGCTAAAGGGAATACAATGAATCCTTTGTGAAGGACTTGAGTACGTTATTGTGCGGAAGGAAAGCCCTGTGTCACAAAAAGATATTAGAAGCATGACTTTATCGATAAACCAGAAGGGAATAGGAAACTGCTCTTGTGATTAAAGCTGAGCATATAAAGCATAATTTCTTTGGAGATCACTCGTTCTGCGGCGGTGTGTAACTTCAAAGTATAACACATGTCAGATGAATATCAAACATGCCGTATTACTCTTCATTACACAATTGAAGGAATTCATTTGTTTTAGTCCCTACACAGCAAACACGTTACACGGCTTCCTGCTTTACAGTTCCATTATATCACAGAACTTTTTGCCAACATATGAATTTTCCATCTAGCGTGGAACTGGAAACTGAAATGAAGCTTCGTACCGGATATAATTAACAATAAAACTAGAGTTTACAGAAAGACGTGAGTGAGTATTGAATGTCTTATATTTAGCTTAGTTTTATAAGTTCACTGTTAGGTATTTCATAGCACAGACCTACATCCTGAAATGGAACTGAGAAAGCAGCGAAAAGGATGGCAACGAAGTTGCTTAGCCCTTAGATGTACACGTCATGAAAAAAATGAGACATAAGTAACCAATTGAATTTTAACTCCAGTATAAGGATAAGTATAGATAAGGATAAATATAGACACTTCATTATTTGGACACGTAAATCAGTATGCCATTCCAGAGTAACTTTATTTTGAATTATGGTCCTGCTTCGTTCTACCCTTTTCGTTTAGGCCGTCACAGCACCGGTACGACCTCATATTACGCCACACACACGGCACACATAGCACACACACTCCGGGTCCGGCACACCCTCCCGGACGGGCGGCTGTGGCCGCCGTGAGAGCCAGCGGCACGGCGCCATCACACCTCTGTTTGTCATGCACATTATCCGGCCGGGTCGCGGCAAAAACGACAATGGCAGAGGCCGCGCGGCCGGTGGCGGCGCTGCGGCACGCGCCAGCCGTCATCACTCACTGCACTTACCCTCCCGGCGCGCGTGGAGTGGCCGCCTTCCGTTGTAGGCATCGATTGGTGCGCGCGAGGTGACGCCTCCCGGCCTCCCCGGCCCTCCCTGGCTTCCTCGCGGCATCTCCCGCCCTCCCCGGCCCTCCTGGCCTCCCGGTCGCCGGAATCTGATGGGGACCAATGTACCCCTCCCCGACCCCTCCCCGCCGCCGATTCCGTCGCGCTGCCGGCTCTCTGATGGCGTCATTGTCAGGATCCGGTCATTGACAGCTGGCGTCATCCGGTGATGACAGCAGGCGTCATCCGGTGACGTCA